GGGAGGTAAGAATGCCAGGAAGGTGGCAGGGAGTTTGGACCGCCAGAACTCCCTGCTTCTTCACTATGCCCCACCTTTCAGTTTTCCTTTCCAGCCAGTTGGTAGGGCATCAACCTAAGTAGAGTAATCTTAGTTTAGTAACAGTGGTTCCTAATGTGAGTGGTTTAAATGTTAAAGGTAATCAAGTTACTCTGAGTATGGAAAAAAAAAATTGTGAATTAGTTGAAGAAAATTATGCCTTATCTGATAATTATTCATCATTCAGATTCCTTAATCAAGCTTCTTTGTTCCTTTTTACGTGAAAAATTCCCCCTGTTGACCCCTTTCTAATAGATCAAGCCTTTCTAACAGATCATCAGGATAGTTTCAGGAGACAGGAAGATGAAACAATGCTTATTTTATAGTTCTCTGACCCAGGGCTTGGAGAAGTTTGAGAATTTGCTTAGTGATTCAGCAAAGGTAGGTAATGGGAACCCTGTCAGACACCCAGTCCTGTGCTTTTGTTCAGGTGCTCTTTATGGGTTTTGTCTGACAACGTAACCAGCCCAGCTTGGCAGGAGCAGCAGCGTTCAAAGATGAGATAGGACCTTCCTCCACCAGAGCTAGCCTGACCTTTCTAACACCCCCAGGCAGCTATTCTAGGAGCTGACAGGTCATCCCCCTTGCCTTGGCTTAGATTGGCCTTTCACAGATGAATAAGAAAGGAGACTCCCTATTTTTAATGTTTGCTATTTATAGTAAGGTTTTAAAGTTACTTTTAAAGAAATACAAGGAGAAGCATGTTAACTTCTAGGGTCTTAAATATTATGTGCCCTGAAAACCTAATGTATTAAAATAACTGCATCTATTTGGGCTTATCAAGGGGAAAGAAAATACAATACCAGACATTATGTGTTTAGTCTTAACACATTAAATTCTCACTACTACTCTATGAAGTCAGGGATATTATCCACTCATTAATTCTTTTCAGATTTATAGGCTAGGCCCTGTGTTACCAGATCAATGTTGAGACCTGGTACAGGCACGGGACATGCACTCATCTGATGATACAAATGAGCAATTATGCCAAAAGTGTTAGATCTATGAGGTATAGTTATGAGAGACATATGCTATGGTGAAGATATTAGAGATAACTCTTTAAGAACAAACAAAAAGGAGAAGAGCTGAGGAGATCAAGGTGTAGGGGTGACAGCCTAGCACTGGAGGCAGAGGGAACAGCATATGATGAGACTATCTAGTGGGATAGTCCAGCATCGTTACAGACTGAAAAGGCATGCCAAGGGCTTCAGAATGCAGATGGTGAATAGAGAAGTAAAAGCTGATGCTGGAATTTTTATCTTAAGAGCAAAGGGAGGCTACTGAAGGATTAAGGGAAAGGGTATAAGATTAGCTCATGCAAACTGCTACATAAATAAAGAGACTGAGGCAAGATAGCATAAATTTGGGGAGATCCAATTAGGAGAGGCCTACCCAAGACTATGGAGAAATGGAGGAGAACAGCATGATGGAAGAGATAATTTCAAAATCAACAGGACTTGGTGGAACAGGGCGGGAATGAAAAGGGATATATTAAGAATGCCTCCTACAGTTTTGGCTTGCTTAACTAGATGCCATTCATAGTGACAGTGAGAAATTAAATAGGACAGGTTTGGGCATACATTTTGTGTTTGCACGGTCCTAGACATGCTGAGTTTTAAATCCCTTTCAGACATAAGAATGGAAAATGGAAAAGAGCAACTATACATAGTGTGCAGACATTGGAAACAATCTAGATCAGAGATAAATACCTGTTAAAACAGCTATATGTGAATGAAAATAAAAACAGAAAGTAGAGACAATCTACTAGGGAGTACTGAGTGGAAAAAGGGCAGCTTAGAATTGAATGCTGGATAATTTCAATACTTAATGGTTGGCGAGAAGAAAAAAATGCTCTGCCAGCTTCCTAATGTATATAAATGATGTTGTCAGGCTTCATTTTTTGGGTCTGAAGAGCCTAACAATAGCAACTTAAATTATCTATATTTTCCATGAATTAATGAGGTCCCATAAAAAGACACAAGAGAGCTAAATTAATACGGGACTGAAGTTTGTGAAACACAGTATTTTAAAATGTTTCCTTACAGAGAGACGGCAAGGAAGCAGTTGAATGTAAGCTCAGAAATTATCTTTTTATATTATTTGATCTAAAGAGATCAAACGCTGTAATTCTCCAAATGGAGTTCAGGAAGTAATCCTGAGATGAGCAGCAACTGAGAAACCAGAGAGTATTTGCAGAAAATTGATAAAGATATTGCAACTTATGGAGAAATTTTACTTGATGGTTTTTGGAACATTTTCTATAGAAAAAAATTGGGATTACTGAATTGAATACAAACACTGACCTCATTCTAAAGAGAACCTGTACATTTAAGAACCTGTCCATGTATAAAGCGGTGGCAAACCTTTAACTCAGTTCAATGGCAGTACTATTAATTTACTTTTCTCTTATTAGGGATGTTTGCTAATCACTATTATAATATACTGCACAGCTGATTACTTTCCAGCAAGGGCTCAGAGAAGTCAGCTTTTCAAGGGAAATCTGGTAATTTTTAATTCTTCAAGAAGCACAACTACAAAGATCATAATGAGCTTGACGATTAGATGACTTTAAACTGCCAATCTAATAAAGTTTCCTGTGTGCTTTTCAATAACTTCATTTTCTTTTTTTAAGAACTGGTAGCATTTTGTACAATATTTTTTCTTTAAGGGTAAGAAGGAGCTGTGGTGACCTAGCCCGTAGGAAGCTGTGATGGTAACCCAAAAGTAGTGTGTCTCTGGTAGTGTTCTTAGGAAGAAAGATAGGCAATCTCCTCTGATGCAATTTATAGCCTCCAAAAACCCACTGGAGAGTCATCTGTGAGTTGGTTCCAACTCGAGGGCAATGACTAACTGATGTGTAAGAAGTATGCATGAGATCCACATTCCAGCTTTTTAGAAAGGCACACACTCAGGACTTACCTTTCCGAATGATCCCTGCCCTAATACTTTTAAAAGCTCAAACTGAGAAGGATCTGCCTTTTCATGTCCTTCCTTTACATGATGAGTGATTGCAATTTCTTTGATGCTGCCTTCTTCCTATTAAATCAAATACAAGGAGAGAAAACCTGGTCAGAGCTACAGTCTCATGTCTGAAATTAAGCAATATTAATATAGCACATCATATTAGAATCCCTTAAATACACACACACACACACACACACACACACACACAAACTGCCCTTGTTGAGCTATCAAGAAGTTTAACTTCTTCTGAAGTGAAACATTCAATATAGAATTATCAGCTCACGATGGAGGCCAATTAATTTTACATGAAATTAGAACTGACCATTTCCAAGCCTCCATCTTCCCTACTGGCGGTAACTAAAATGTACTGTTTTATGAAATAGGGGCAGAGGGTATAAAGAAATCGGAAAGTAAGTGCTCAGAGAATTTTGTTGTGTTCTGGCATAATGGCTAAACCAGGTAAAACCAATGCTATATATTCAAAACAAACAAAACTGGGGAGAGAGGTTGATAACCTTACTGGGGAAGTGTAGAAACTTCTACCCTTAGCATGGCCATTTAGAAAATATACTGTACAGGTTTTTTTTAAAAATATTTAAGTTACTTTTTGTTTCTAGGATTACCTGGGATTTGAGAGCAGAGGAAGGAGTAACTCTAAAGCACATACTCAGAAAGAGCTTAACATTGAGTAGAACATGAGACATGGGCGAAAAAAATTACTATTTGCCACAATGAAATAGTTGCCTCAGAGTTAAAAGGGGAAAAAATATTAAAGACAGAGAACACTTTTATATATCTGACGGATGGTGTCAGGAAAAAAAAAAGTTGAAAGATAAGCGTATGCATTAGGATTTCCATTACTTATTCATCCTCTGAATGGCATGAAAACCTCATTTCATCCTGTGAACAGCAAGCAAGACACTAGGCTATATAGCCAAAAAACTTCAATAAACATTATTTTAATTTAGTCCAATAAACCAAAAACATAACCTTGTCCAAAAGATAATGCCACTGCTATTCTGTTGAATATAATGTCACTGTGACTTTTTTCTACATATGTAACTACTATTCGTACAATCTAATGTATTATATAGGCAGTTCTGGTGGTCTAGTGGTAAGGAGCTGCGTTGCAAACCTGTTCAAGGTACACTGTTCAAATCCACCAGCTGCTCTGCAGGAGAAAGATGGGCAATCTTCTCCTGTGCTATTTATTACCTTTAAAACCAGCTAGAGGGTCAGCTCTGGGTTGTATCCAATTTGATGTTACAAAACAACAATGTGTTATACAAATATAAGACATTACTGTCAATGTTACTGTACATACAAACATTTGAGCTCAAGTAACATTTTCTGGAACAGCCACAAAATGAGGGTAACAGAGAATTACAAAGATTGCATTAAAAAAAACCCACAACAAACCAAAAACCACAAACAAACCAGGATAGCCTAATATGGAAGTTTTTGGAATTCAACAGTAAAAGAGAAAAAGCCCACATAAGAAAGAAAGAAGGAATTCAGCTTCATCATTTTTTCTATCTAAGACAGAGGCTATAGTTGACGGACTGGCCCATTTTGGACTTTGACTACAAAAGAATCTTCTAATATTTTATGTAGAGAGCTCTGGTGACCAAGTGCTAAGTACTTATGCTGCAATATCAAAAGTACACAGTTCAAATTCACCAGGTACTCCACAGGAAAAGGATGAGCGATCTCCTCCAGGCTGATTTACTGCCTCTAAAAACTTGCTGGAGGGTCAATTATGAGTCAGTCCAACTCCATGGCATAAAACAACAACAAAAACATTTTATCGGTGCTATCATATTTTCATTTCACATGCATTATATTCTTTAATTCCCACAATCATAAAGTTCAGTAGGTATTAGGGTAGAATGAACCATTAGCAGACTCTAAAATCTTTCCTAGGTGGCCCTTCTTCCAGAATAAGATAAGTGTACAAGAAAAGACTTGAGGAGTGATAGCTCCTACAAAAGGGAAAGCTGGAACCAAGTGACCAGATTGTTTAACGTTTCAGAGAAGTGTATGTAGGACTGATGAAGTAAGATTCAAATCTAGAATGTGTTTATGAAGCAGCTACCATGAATCAAACCTGTGTTATGTGCTTTATCATCCTTTCTCTTAATAGTTAAGCATCACAGTAAATCTTTGACCACAAAGTAAAGTTAAGAAAGGATAGTAACACAAAGTGGAGAAAACTCTACAGCAGGAAAACATATTTCAGAGTTGGGCTGAAGGGGTAAGTGAAAGACTGGGTAATGTTCACTGGGGACCTGAGAAGACGGGAGATAATAAGCATAGAGCACTGTGTTAGCTATTTATAGAAATTATAATGCATATGAGTGATTGCATGAAACACAAGGTGGATGAATGAAACTCACAAAGCTCATCAATATACCACACCAAGATGGTCAGAGACTTCTGTCAATTTACCACCCAAGATCAATTGAGGAATAGAGATTTATGCCTCTGGTTTTAGCATCTGGCCTGTATTTCAGGTTAGTCAGCTCAGCTTTCTGACAGTTTTTCAAAATTCTGGTAGTACAACTTCCTCAGTTAAAAATAAGCACTTATATAATTACTTGTTTATAAATGATACATATGTAAATATGCTCTACATGGACATGAAACTCTTTCTAAGAACTTACCGAGAACACAGCAGTCATTAATGTCTTTAATCATGATTCTGTGAAGAACTTTTATTTTGTAAGTAGCAATGTGATGTAACAGTCTAGGGTTATTTTAAAGATCTTACATTTAATAACAAAAATACATAATAAATATCTGTCACAAAAATGCAGCACAGGCTGGAAAAAAAATGTTGCATCTTGCAGCAGGCATGAAGGATCAAATCTTATTCTTTACATAGTGTGAGCTGCAATCAAGTCATTAATGATAAAAACAGTAGTTACTACTAAAAAACAATATGCTAACTGCCATTCGTTTCTCAGGTCAAGTAAGTTACTAAAAAAAAAAAAGTAGTGTCCCTTTGTTTCATTTAACAGACATACACTGAAAACACCCACCATTTTGTGGAAATGTGCCTCATGTTCATTTTCTGTTTCCAATGGTATCCAGGTACAAGTCTTCATCACCTTTTGTGTAGAAAATTGAAACTAGCTTGATTACTCATATCACTTTCTGCACTATTTACTTCAATTCAACCTACTGGAAAAAAAAATTTTTCTGAAAGTCCAATCATAGGACCAGGCTGGTTCAGAACGCCTCTCAATTTTCTTAAATGGTGTGCTTCACTTGGCACAGTACGGTTTCACTTATCTCCCAACATTCCCATTAGTCAACCAGGGCTATTTCCAGATCTCCAAACTTTTAAAAATAATACACGCACACAGGTAATATATCAAACAGTGACAAAAATAACTTATGATGGAGACAAGTTTCTTACTTCCTTACCTAAGCGTTTTAAAAGATTAGTTCAATGTGCATTTTAATAAAGTTCTGAATTTGTTAATCTTAAGGCAATGTTTTGACTTAAAAATGAGAAATGATGAGTTATGATCATTCCTTTGCCTACTATTTATTAATTACAATTATTTTACAGAAATCTCTTCTGTCCATTTTGAACAGAACCTCAACTCTTTAGAGAAGCAAGCTAGCCATGTCCTTACATTCTTTCCCTTACACTTCCACTCTCTCACCAGCTGCTACTTTTTATTAAACCTATTAAGAAAATTAACTTTTTTCCACTTACATGTACAACTAAATCATTCATTCTCTCCATAACTGGATTTCAAAGCTGAAATCTTATTCAACAGCATCTGTATTATCATGTGTGATACAGTGAATGAAGTAATATGGTCCTTCCAGTTACAGCCTTCCATCATGCAATGTATTTGTAGCCTCTGTGTGCTTATGACCTAATTTCGGGAGTGCACTGTTTATTGTGTTGGTGAGACAGGATTATGGTTTTATGTATCTGGAATCTCCACCTTATTAGAAGCTATGTATGATCCTAGCTGCCATCCTTCGCTATCCCGTGGAGCTGTGGTTTGTAGAAAAATGTTCTTACAAAGTTTGATTCTTTTAGCTCAGGACATTGCATCTGACCTCATCCAGCTGCTCAAGTGCCACCGCCTGCAGTTGCTGGTCTCCATTCTTCATTACCTTCTGCAATCAGTGTGCTCACCTGTAGCAGTCACCCTTCATGTCACCCCTTCCTGAAAACCAGCCTGATGCAGAAATTTGGGACTTGTTAGCCACCACAACCACACATACCATGTCCCTGATGACTTCTGAGTTTCCAGCAAATTATAGAACCCAAAGACAGAGCTGGAAGGCAGAATTGTTGATGGTGAGATGGAGTGGTACAGCAAGTGGGAAAAGTGTGTCTACTTTTAATGTCCACCTCATAGGAACCTGTTTTCTACTTCTCAGCCCTTACTCATCTTTTCCATTCTTTTCAGAGTCCCTCTCTATCCAAGAGACTTTTCTCTTGTGCACTTGACGGCTTGTCCACTAGGCCAGCTGCACAGCTGTCATCCTGGGATAGCTCTTCGGTACTGTTCTGGTTGAAGCCACTTTTATTTTCTTTTTAATGTTTTTATTTATTTTATTTTATTATTTGTGTGTGTGTGTGTGTGTGTGTGTGTGTGTGTGTGTGTGTGTGTGTGTGTGTGTGTGTGTGTGTGTGTGTGTGTGTGCCGTCAAATCAGATCTGACTGGTACAGGAGGAGACTGTCCCTCCTTCCCCAGCAGAGCATCTAGTGGATTCGAACCGTGCACTTCTGAGATTGCAGTGCAGCTTCTTGCCACTAGTGAAGCCACTTTTCAACTCCCCCATCTATCTTTCTTGAAAGAGTAGTATTCTAGTCACTTCCTAAGGCACATGATATAGAAAAAAAAACACCCTTTAAAAACCTTGAGTGTCTTTATTTTGTCTTCACATTGGTATAGCTTGGCTTGGTACCAAATTCTAGGATAAAAATAATCTTGCCTCAGAAATTCAACACCATTGGTCCAGGGCCTCCCTGCAGCTGATGTTGCTAATGAGATGTGTGATGTTTGCCTGACATCTTTTGGTTAGGTAACTTGCTTTT